GAAGACTAACCCGAACCTCCTTCCCTGGTTCCCCCCGCCAAATGTCGCCGTTCTCGGGGCATGCTATCCTGTGTAAGCAGGGCAGGTGGGGGAGGGGGGCACTCCCCCTCGTCTGATACTGGGGTGTGACTGTCTCTAGCGTCGGAGGCAAGGCAAAAGATAAGAATATTCAATTTTTTGACTAACAATGTGCGTGTGTTTGTGCGTGTGTGGGTGTTTGTTTGCGCGATGGCAGGGAAGGGAAGGGCTGCGGCGAGCGGCAAGTGGCGATGAGGACACGATGGTGACGCCCACAGCGCAGCGTGCGCGGCAGCAGCGCCGACGGCGGCCCCGCGCCGCGTCGGCGGCGGTCTGAGTGAGGCAGGCTGCCCTCCACAACCCCCTGGGCACTCCCCCGGCGAGCAGCGCGCTATGCGGGCCCGCCGCAGGCGACGCGGGCGGCGCGCCGACGCGCGTGTCGCAAGCGTAGGCAGCGCTGGCGAAGCGAGGCGGCCGGCGGCCCCCGGAGGCGGTTGCAGCGAGAGAAGCGAGGCAGAAGACACTGCTGAAAGGGTGGGGAGCAGCCTGCCGTCGAGCGGCGCGCCGCGCAAGCCCGCTGCCGGCGACCCGATCGGAGAGCTGGTAGATATGGTACTACTGAGCGCGCCATCGCGCCCGAGGCGGCCCGCCCTGGCCCTGTAGACCTTCCCAGAGAGCTTGGCGAGGCTGTACAGCATCCCAAGAGCATACTGGGCAGGCTCCCGTCGAGCGACGAGCCATGCTGGCTCGTCGCGGGCCGCGAGCTCGAAGACCCGCTCGGAGCTTCGCCGAGCCTCGCGGGCCGCCCGCACGCCCGCGGCCGCAGGCATGGAAGCGAGCTTCCTGGCGTCTCTAGCCAGCGCTCACATGCCAAAAGGCACCTCGCAGCGCGCGAGACGTGACCGGAGCGGTACGCCTCGGCGCCGCGAGAGCAGCCGGTCGGCGTGGGCACCAAGCGCGCGGCCGCCGGGCGCCTTCGCACCGACAGGGGCGCCGCGGCAGCAGAGAGCACTCCAACACATACCGTTTTTATGGCGGGTGATTCATCAGCTACGACCTCGGGCGAATTCTTTTGGGCGGAGGAAAGGCTATAGAGGCGTGTGTCGCCACGGGCGGGCGCCGCGGCCTGCCGAGAAATGACGACAGCCGCCGGCATGCTGCCGCCGATGATTCTGCCGCGCGCGACGCAGCCAGCGGAGCCCGAGGATGAGCCGGCGGGCCCTTCGGCGCCGCAGCGCGCTGCACGTGCTCCCGCGCAGGGCAAGCGCAAGGGGTGGGTGCCGAGGTCGCAGGCTGACTTTTGCGACGGCGGCGCGTACCCGGAGATCCACGTCGCTCAGTTCCCGCTGGAGATGGGGCGCAAGGGCAAGGCGCAGTCGCAGGTGCTCGCTCTCACGACCGACGCGTCGGGCCGCGTTGGCCACGCCGCTGGCATCGCGTCGGTGGGGCAGCGCGACGGTAAGGTCGTCCACGCGACGCGAGACTCGCTCGCGCCCAAGAATCTGGGCGATGAGGAGCTGGCGCGGCCGAGCGAGGACGCCGCCGCGGAGAACACCGAGCGCACGCGATTGGCACTCGAGGCTCTCGCTGGCGCCAAGGTGGCCAACGCACACGGCTCTCTGGAGAAGGCGCGCGGCGGCCCCGCCC